TTCAAAATCATAAATAAATAAATTATGAAATCCGTAAATATATATTTTTAAATATATAGAATTCCAATATCTAAATATTAGTTTGTAAACAGCCATACGAATGCAAATAATTCTAATACTTAATATATCTAGAGTTTTATTTTTCAAAGATATAAGAAAACATACATTATACAACCTTAAATATTTATTAAATTATCAATTATATATATAAATATTATATATTTTTTATTGTAAGATTTCAATAATAACAATAAAAAAATAAAAACAAATCAATATTTAAATAAGAATTATCATATTATCTAATATTTATTTTTCAATTATATATATTTAGAATATATTGCGAGTAAAGGCTTATACTTATACTATTCTATTCTAAAATAATCCACTATTCTCATCTAAATCTATATTTATATCGAATATTCGCAATCCGAGCCTACGATGAACGCGCGTTCGAGACGTACTTTTCTAAATTTTCCCGTGTCCCGTGCGTGGTTGCTCTCGCAAGAAGGACCCGTCGCCGCCCGAGCTATCATGTCTTGCTGTAATACCCACCCACCCGGACGTCACGATGCGCAGCTTTCAGTTCCGCGTGCTCCTGCTGCGGCGCTTGCACATGCCCCTGCCGCTCGCGCCGCGCAGATATGCCTGCCATGGGCAACTTAATCCTCTGGGCGATCGTCGTGCCGCGCGCGCCGGAACGTCCGGTTGGTAAAATAGTATATATATTTCGGAGCCAGAAATCATCATCCCAATTTCGAAAAATAAAGATTCACCTCCCCCCAAGAACCATAGCCCATAGATTCGATACAATAAACTAATTCCGATAAATGTTCGTTCCGACTAAGAACTAATATCTATATATACCATCGTCGTCCGATCATCTTCAACTATCATTAGAATTGATATCTGAGTGAACTGGTAGACTCTGTTGTGTATCACAGAAAATACGTCGATTGCAATCTACCTGGTATCGCATCCCCTGTTAGTCCTGCTATGACAAAAGAACTAGATGGAGAGGCTCGCCCACCTGATGCTATTTTGTTCAGCTCTCACCCAGCGGATGGCAAATCGCCGTCGTGCCGGAGCTGCGAAGTTCCAGACTACTCGAATGCGCAAGATGCGCTTGCTGGTCTGAACCCTCTCTTGTCATCTTCGCAGCCAATGAGGCTTTGGATTTTGCTGCTTCATTCACAGCAGTGATACTCAGCATCGAGCAGCTTTGCTGGCCGATGTGCTTACCAAGCCCCGCTGTGCGAATTGGGGGGAGGCTGAAAACTGCATAGGGAGCTGCTTCTGGAGATGAGGATGGTGCCGTGTCTTGTATTGTTTCTCAAAGTTGCAGCTGGAAAACCTCCCGGCCTGTCCATCTGGCATGGAAATGCGCACTAATTCAAACTCGAACCACGAACACCTCTCGCATTTCGCTGTCACAAGGCTTGAAGGAAAACACTATTCCCCAAACTCATGCTCTGCAAATCTCTCCCCCATATGCAAGGGGATTCAGTGGCTCATGTTGTAGCAAAGGATGATCTGTCTAAAGCTACTGCGAGAAGTTAATGGTCATAGCTTGCTGCACAACATCACAGGCCTTGTGCGTCTACGGTTGGTATGTACTCTTGAAAGCTAGTGTTGCTCATCGGTATTCGTTCGAGCACCAAAACTTGCAACGTGAAACCGAAGGAGGAACATATCAACATCATCCCGAACAGTTTTCCGGAAGACAACTCACTGCAGGTCAGACAAACAATCACTCCGTGCTGTTCGGGATGCTTTGCAGGCTGCTACATTGAAACTCCCATGGATGCATGACCCACCCACTTCACTGGATGATGTTCAACATCTCTCCGAAGGGGAATTTCGCACCTGGAGCAGCTGTGGGTCTGGATGGGAGTCAGCGGCATCACTGAGGCATCGTTACATGTATTGTTCAAGCAGAACAAACCGCAGCTAGTTTCTGATACTTTAGAAAGCTGGTCACTGCTTCGACATGACCGCAATATCGCCCATGAAACCGACCCTTTTTGGTTCGACTGCTTCGGTGTCCCTCAGTGAGGGTGCGCGAGGCTTTTGGGCGCAGGAGTCTTCAGCTCTGCCGAAAGGCTCTGATAGTATGGTTTAACTACTAGCCGAAAGCACGGGCAGCAACGCACGAGACACCGACAACTACTCTTGGCAAAACGCATGGTTTGCCAAGTTTCGGGTTGATGGCTTCTTCAGGTTTCAGGTTTGCCCTCCCTTCTCTTTGCTTGTGGATAGATTCTACTGGGAATTTCAGGAATTAGAGTTAAATAGAGGGTATCGCTTCTTGCAAAAGCACCAATCTACATTATCACTCGCGATTCAGAGCAATGAACGGTTGCGGCATGTTGACGCCAGCGGTCGCTCGTCCCGTGACAGCCTACCGGTGCCCGGTGCCCGCATGTTTCCAAAGTCCATACCAAGTACAGCACCTACTCATATGACATGCTGCATGTAACATATATCAGTTGCCCATGGTGCAGACAAAGCCGCTTCACACTTCTTGAGAGTAGGTCCTTCATTCCCTCATTACCGCTCTTTGCTGTGAGCATTACCGCAGCTACATGAGCCTTCCTTCTCAAGACGATACATTACCGTGCAACTTCCAACGAGCCGCACACAGCTGACCTTCAGCCGCGAAGGGTGCTACATTGAAGTGAGCCTTTTCCCTCCAGCTGTCGCAGCGTTTGGATCATGGTGTAACTTGACACACCGAATTTGGGCTGCCGGGTGCGTGGCTGATGTCCTCGTCACCCAGTGAATTTGGCCTGAGCTTCTCGAGCAGCGCCAACTTGTGCTATCTGTAACTTCGGGTGTCGTTTCAGGCGCCGTTTCTTGAACGATCTCGGCAACTACTCTCATGAGAGCAGTGTTGCGACCAGGTACAGCATGGCAATGCATTCCGGAAACCTTATCCTCCGACTCTTCGTGCCCCTTGAAATTAGGCGAATCACTGGGCACAAAACTTATGAATGATTATCGGAAGATACGCTGCTCTTGCAAGCTTGTTGCTTTTTGACCTGTTACCCCCTAGCTGCAAGGCCGATTTTGTAAACAGCAGAGCAGCGTCGATTTCGTGTCAGCGACGTCGGGGTTCCTGCGAGCAACAAGAAATCAGCACACCGCGCATCTGGGGTTTGTGGGAGCCATCTCAATTGCTGTGCATGTGCTAGCAGAGGCGCTGCCCCCTTGCTTGCAACTTGTAACATTTTGTTATCCACTTGGCCTTGCGCAGTGGATACCTTCGGACTGAACTTGTGATTTGGCAAGCAAAGTGCGAGGGCGCGCGAATACAGCTTAAGCATATGTCTTAGCACTAGGATCTCGCAGACTCTTACTGTCCTTCTTCAAGACTGCATATGTCAGGCAGAGCGGAGGGTCCTCACCAGCGGGGCAAAGATGTGCCCCTCGAAGGGCAGGCAGAAGGACTCGATCTCAGAGCCTTACGATTGGCGAGTGTAACCGTAGTCTCATGTCCCTGCAAGTACTCCCACGGTCTCCGATTTTCTTGCTGCCCCGAAGCTCTCTTTCCGACTCGGATGAACAGCTGCCATGCGGGAGTTTGCAACAAAACCCAATCTGCAGGTTGCAGGCTGTGGAAAGTGGGGCCAGGCCGTCAGCAAGCAGTTCCGACCACTGAAACCTAACTAGATTAACACTAGCAAAACCTTCTGGCCTGCTGGTTCATCTGCTTTTTCTCCAAGCTCCCGGCACCCAAGGCAGCCCGGTGTGCCCCATCCGCTCGGACTCCGCTGCTCCTGTACGGAAGAACCCCAGGAGTTGTATTCATGTTCTTCTGCGCTTTGATTCACGTTCCAGAGAGTTTAACTGAGTTCTAGCACGTGTGCTTCTTCGTCCTGAACTTCTAGGGTTTACGACCCTGGAATATTTGGCGAGCAGGCAGCAGACACACAGTGATCAGGCGACACAGCTCCCCCGCATCTGACAGATCGGGTACCGAGTCGCTTCATGTCTTCATTGGTTGTCAATCCTACTGAAAACTGGAATGTCGACTCTAGAGAAAGGTCCTTCCTTCCATCTCTAGCTGAGTGCAAAACGAAGACATCTTCAGTCTTTCGGGGCCGAGGGCGAGCTCTGGTTCCAAGGGATGAATGTAACCCGAACGGCCTGACACTCTGGGCAAATACCCCGACGATCTTCACTGACCATGATCTTCGCCTGTAGCAGGATGTAGCAGGGCCGTGCGGGCTTTGCATGTGTGCAGGGCTGTCGAGTGCCTCCGCTTTGATCGGTTCGAAGAGATCCGGTGTGGAGATGACGAGGCGATCCAGAGGGCTGGCGTGGGCGTTGTGTGCTTCGTGCATGCTGAGGCTGAGCTCATTCAGCTGACTCAGATTGATGAATATAGTGTTTACCATCGGACTGTTGCCCTCACAGTCCTAGTTGCTTTACAGCCTTCTTGACAGCGCCAGAATCCTAAGCTTCGGGGTTGCGGGGATCCCGTAACCCGAACACCAAACCTCAAAATTCCGTTCGTTTAACCTTGGGTCCAAGCCCAAACTAAGGAGTTGGGAGCAATCTTGTCGGGCGGCAAGACATATCTCGGCCGGTTTGTGAGGTGCATCTGATACCACCAGAAGTCCAGCTCCTGTCGGAGATCAGCCAGACTTCTGCACATCAAATGCTAGGATGAAAACTAGTCAGCAGGCAGTCTACTATAGTCTACCACTTGACCGGAGGCATGGAAGATCCAAGATGATCCGATGGGCACACGTACATGTGCGAAGCTCGACCGTTAAGTTGTGCCCACCCAAGCCAAGGCTCGCCACAGCTTTAAACCTCGAAGCAGCCGACAACCCTCCATTCCACGATGGCCTGCAACTTCACGGGCGGATGCTCCTCGCAGGGCTCGGGCCTTCATTATTCAATGCGGGATCAGAGAGATGCTTCCACTCTTTTGCGACTTCGGAGGTTGCACGCCTTTCGTTCTTCGACTCTACTTGGGGCTGCAACTACGCAACGCTCACGACTTTCGTGTCCTCTCCGACCAGATTTCGCAGAATGCGTTGATGCCTGTTGGTCTGGACGCGTTCCTCCAGTCTCAATGGCGCCAGCTGTTCGGAAAGACACGTGTTCGAGGCATTGAGGAACAGCATCAAGCAGGTAGACCAGAATGACGGCTGAGCGCTCTGTGCACTAGTGCTATAATTCCGAGCCACCACGAAGCGCATGCCCAGATGGTTCCTTGCGTCAAGAAGCGCGAATGACTGGGTACTTTCGAAAACAAGTAGCTGAAATTGAGCAATGTTCGAATGGTTCCGCTTTTGCATACCGGCTGAGAAGCTTTCGAAGCAGTTTATGGTGAAGTCGGGCTTTCTGCAACACGAAACATCCAATGCGTGCCCAGTGGCAGCAGCCACGTGCATTTCCACCAGGTCGGTGCCCCACGCTGGAGTTCCAAGGAGCCTCTCCGAGAACTTCGGAGCTATCAGTCGAAGCCCCTGCGACACTTCAGTTTCTTGTGGCCCTGCCTTTCGCGCCGAGTCGGTGGAGTGCCAGCTTGACAAGGCACTCCACGAAAGCCGCGCAGCGAAAGGCTGGCGCAAGTATTTGGACATGTTCAGCGCGGCACGACAGACTCTTTTATTCAACAGTTCTTCTTGCACACACTCGGGCACTGAACTGATAGGTAGGTGTGCCTTTGCGGATCTGTGGCTGGCCGAGAGCTACGAGGCCTGAAAACGCAAGCAGCGCTTCTGCAGCCCTGCAGCTCCACGTGCGAACTGCTAACAGTTACCACCGCCCACCCTTCGCATGCTCTGCTGCATACTCTGGGGCAAACAAGGACCTATTAATCGCATGTCGTGCACAAGACTGCAAAATGCAGCTGCTACAGCTATGCCAACACCATGAGAAGTCGTGTGCTGCTGTGCTGCATGCTGGCACAGCCACACCGCTAGGCCGCTAGGTTCCGGGCCGGGTGCGGCACTTGTTGGCCGGCTTCCTTCTGGAACCCACGTGCTCCTGAAAGCGGACAGATTTCTCTCCGATCAGGCTGGTGCCCTTGCCGGCCTCTTCACCTGCTGCGCCAGAAGAGTTGAGCGAGCCTGACAAGGCATCTCTGGGCTGTTCGTGATCCTCGGAGTTCTCCTCCAATCAAAGGCGATTGACCCAAAGCTTGCACAAAGGACACACGAAGATTTATATATGCAACCTGAACGAGTCGAACTCCGAGTGCGCGCAACCAACGTCGTGTCGGCCCTCTTTGCAACACACAGCGTCGCGTGCCCCGAAATGCACAAGTACAGCTTCTACCTCTTCGTGTGAATCTGCCAACAAAACGCACGACATCCGTACACGATCCCAGCCCCCCTACAAACAACCGGCAGCTGTGAGGCATGTGATCGCGGCCTGTGTAAGCTGCAGCTTCTGCCTCCGGCGGTGCTCTCGGGCCAGAGCCAAAGCACGAAACGCCACCTGCCTCAGGGTTTGACTCTGCGTGACTTTGAGCTTCTTTGGCCCAGCCAGACCCTCGCACCCTAAGCCATTTCGCAAATTGGAATGGAGTTCATCTGACAAGCCCTTCCTGGATGCCTGGACATGGTCCCATTGCTCTTTGCACCAAGCTGAGCAAGGCCGGTGGCCAGGTCCTGGCATCTTGGTGTCGGCCCCAACATGACTCAGAAAGGTCCAAGTAAGCGCGGAATCCGCGTCGCATTTCTACGCCTGCGATGGAGATCACTTCTCGGGCCGCTGATACCCAACAAAACTAACGATAACGAAAACCCACTCCAGACCACTTCGAGGACTCGTGGGTTTTGTCTGTCGCTCTGTTGCTGGAGTAATGCCGAGGCTGGGGAAGAGGCGTGGTGCTGGTTTGCAGTGTCGGATCGTGTGGGCTGTCCGAAATTCTCGTAAAACACAGAACGAAGTGTTGCCTAGGCCCCAGGCAGATGGCACAGTTACTATGCTGTTTTGTTTTTCATGGCCCCTTTCCTCTCCGCAGAGGTCTACGCTGAGAAAGCCAATTCTGACTGCCGAGGCATGGCAGCTTGAGCTGGGCCATGATCTCTGAAGCTGAACCATGATCGAAGAGTTGCCATTTCAACAAGGATCCATCGTTATCCCTCTAGGAACTGCACTCTTCCCCAACCTCCTACGGGCACAGGTTTCGCCCCATTGAGCTGGGATTCCGGATGGGCATACGCGGCTCCAAGCAACATGTCAGTTGATAGACAGAGCTCGTGCTTCAGCCGCGACTCCTTCTCGGTGGGGATGCAGTCGGGGCTCAAGGCCATGGAGACGGCTTTCCTTGTCCCAGCAGGCGCTAGAAAAAAAAGATGTGCCCTTCTAAGAATTCTCGGTGCTTGAGCTACAATGTTACTCTGTGCTGTTCTGAGCAGAAGCCCAAGCGTCTGTATGAAGGTGCCAGCGGAAACCTCCTGATCAGAATTCGCAGGCCCAAAGAAGGACTCGAGGCGACTGGAGCCGCCCCTGCCGGGAAAACAGATCTCTCGAGGCTTTTGAGGGGTTATAGCAACACTGCGGCACTGGGCCCAACAGAGACATGAGTACTGGGATGTTCTAGACTCTCTAGACCTGCCGGCACAGGAAACGCTGCACAAGCCTGCAGTGCATCCACGATGGTGGTGATCCACTGCTCCATCCATTTGAGATCGAACGGGGGCTTGCAGAGTGAGCCTTTATGTTTGACTCAACTTTTTGCAGCTATCCCTTTCACTGCGCGGAACCCAAGCAGGCAATGTCCAACAGACGCTGAAAGCCCGACTGCACCTGGCCTAGACTCCCGCTCCAGGATTTTATCGTCCAACGCCTGAATGGCAGGACATGGCAGGACCATCTGAGAGGGTCTTCCATGCCTGGCTTCTGGCTGTGAAAATTCTGCATGCCAAGGCATACATCCAACCCGTTGTTTCCTCCGCCTCTTCCTCCTCCGAGCCCCTTCCGACCCTCTACCCATGTTCCAGCACTTGAAGAAGCAAGCACGTCACAGCGCCTCGAGGAACAAGCGTGTCGCCCGCTCAGACGACGAGAGCATCTCAGCGAGGGACACTTGGCCAACAAAGGCCGTTTGAAGCTGCAAAGCTGCAAAGGTTCCCACCCCGAGAATCGCGCACCTGTTCAGGCTTTAGCATGAAGCAGTCGGCGACGCTGGCTCGATCGCGGGCAGCTTTTGCCTTCCGAAACAGGTGAGGGCTCAATGACGCCTGCTGATGCCTGCTGTCTAGAACCTCTTCTCCTATGCTACAAGGCATCTTGATTTTGTGAAAGCAGGACACACGGCTGCCTTGGTCAGGACCTTGTCCAACTGATACACCTGACAGCATCTTGCAGGAATTCTGTCAGAAGTGGGTCTGCGAAACTAATTATTACTGCCCCGAGTACATGCAACGACCTGGACCTAGTTTTGCTGAGCAGTGCGATGCCACTCATCCAGTTAGCCTTGCCTTTGCATCTGCTTTTCTTGGTTGTCGTGGAGGCGCCCTAGCCCATGTTCTCAGAGCATCCAATGAAGTCCCAGCAGCCGTGATTTCCACCGGTTGCCCTTTCGGGGCCATGGGCAGCAGCATGGCGAAGCACTGCTCGAGCCTCGTGCGACATAAGATAACAGAAGCACATAAGCACGAGACATACCGCTAGCAGCGACAGCCTCGCGGACTCCAGGCCAAGGTTCCAGGGTCGCAGCGTCGCGTCGCGCTGCGCATCGCGTGCAAGCGGCGCTCAGAAGCGCCAAGCTCCGACGAAGTTGGAAGCTAATACAGGTCGCCGCTACCCGAACCCCGAACATGGTATTCACATGCAGCACCTCGGCTCGACTAGTGCGCCAGTTAAGTTCGCGGGCGGTGGAAAGAGCGGAACGGATGTCGAGAATTGTGAATTCACATCTGCCTTCGGTCCTGAAGCTCTGTCAATGCTGAGACAGCTTTTGCCATGCCTTTTCAACATCGACCTCCTAGCCGTCGTGACTGTGAGTAGCATCTGAGGTCGTGTTGGACATTGGGGACTGGTTGCTACCATTCCCTGTAGAAATTGCTCTTAGCTTCCAAAGGCTTCTGCATTCGAACATCTTGGCGAGCGTCGGCCGCCGGCTGCATCGGACATAGCTGAACCGTGTATGTACCAACAGTGTCCATCCCCTTAATCGGCTGAGCAGCTGCGCTGTGCTGATGAGACGCTGGCCAGGTGGGGATGCAATCCTTGGTTCGGAAGGACCAGAGGCCCCAGTGTTGGGGACTCTGCATCTCCCTGCAGCCACGGTTCTCCAGAAGCTCGCTGGCACCTGCGCAGCCCGAATCCAGATCAACTAGTTGCTGACACTCTGGCGTCAGTCCCCTACAACGTGCCCAAGCTTCGTGCGGGCAGGAATAGAATGTCCCCACACCGGCTGCCCTTTAGCCATCGGTCCGCAAATCACATCCAACCGAAGCCAGGCTCTTGGTCTCTGCCGAGCCCTGCTGGCAAGCGGCTCAAAGTCAGCGAAGGCGGCAGCTGCCTAAAGTTGAAGGCGACGGCCAGGCGCTCGGGGCTCGCGATGAGTTGTTTTTTTCTGTTTGGGATGCCTCCTACACTCCTACACTCAATCCCTCCTTCACCTTGAATGGACCTTGAAATGGTCTGAGTCGGCTTCCGCAGAATCACGCCAGGTCACGTCATCCGCTGCCCTGCGTTGCCGGCAGAGTTTTTGCGGCCCTCCTGCCAAGACTTCACAAGCGCCTTGCTGCTTCAGCTCATGTCGAACTGTCAGCATCTACCAGCGTGCCTTGAACATTGCCTCCTTGCGCTTCTTTGGCGCCTCACCGCGGGCCTCACCCTGGCGTTGTAAGTGGCCTCTACACCTCTACACCGACTCCACCAGCCTCTAGTAACTCTAATAGAACCATCTCATGCAGCACTCTGGTGGTATGTGGGCAGCGCCTGAGGTGTCGAAGGCGATGGTGTCGCCTCGTCTTTCTCCTGCAGCGGCGGAAGCGGATTTGGGCCTCCCTCTGAACACAGTCAGAGCAGGGACGGTTTTGAAAGCCCGTGATGCTGACAAGCGCAAGCGTGGGGAGTTATGCGTGCCTTGAAACTCCGGAGTCTGCGAATCACACGTGATGGCGACGGCGGCGGCCGCACGTCCTGAAGGCACTGAGTTTCAGTGGCTGCTCTGAGGCCCCGCTGAACCCTGGGGTCCTCCAGTTCCTCAAGGCAGAAAGGCATCCGCTGAACCACCAGGTCCGCCAGGCGCATGAAACGGCTGGCCAACCTCGGCTTGGGCTTCGGCCTTGGATGCTTCGACGCTCGCCGGGTCTCTGACCAGGTTTCCAAGGCGGCAAAGAAGAAGGCGGCGTGCTGCCTCGGTCCCGAGTCCCAGCGGGTCCCAACCCTCAACCTGGCAGTTGCACGCGCATCGCTCCGCCCCTCTTTCTGCAGAGCTGCTCGAGGTCTGTCATCTCGTGCAGCGGCTTCTCCAAGAATCCCAGCTCGACCTGCAAATCTGGGACTCGCGGGCTTTCTCTTCAAGAGGTTTACGTTTGCAGGGTGTCTCTGGCCTGTGGAAGCAACGCAGCAGCTGCAGCGGAGGCCTCGAATCTTCAAACTCTGGAGATTGCACTCATGCTTTGCACGGCTGACACCGGCTTCAGCAGACTGGATGCATCCCTGGCCTCCTTCGTCACTCTTCTCCGCGGGATCTGGCGCGAGTCAGCTTTGGGAGGGTCCTGCTAGCCTTGCTGCCTCTGGTTAGCGGCTAGCGGCTGGCGTGCAACTGCAGTTTGGATGCCCGGAGATCCAGGCTTCTAAAAGCGCTCCTGTGCTCTTTATGTGAGCGTTGATCAATATTCCTGTTTCTGGAAATGGCTTCTTCACGGATTATTGCTTTCCTTTCGCGGGACTTTCGCCCTCACTTTCGCGCGTTATGTTTGAGGCAGTAGTCGTAGCAGCAGTAGTAGTCGCAGTAGCAGTAGCAGTAGCAGTAGCAGTAGCAGTAGTAGTAGTAGTAGTAGTAGTAGTAGTAGTCGTAGTAGTAGTAGTAGTAGTAGGAGGAGCAGTAGTAGTAGTTGTAGTAATAGTAGTAGTAGTAGTAGTAGTAGTAGGAGGAGCAGCAGCAGCAGCAGCAGCAGCAGTAGTTGAAGCCTTGCACGCAGCTTGGGTGGCCTGCAGCTCGGCAACCACGAGTTCCTCATGGCAAACGTGGCTAGCACAGGAACTGGACAATATGGACACGATAGATTTTGCAGCAAGGCTTTCGAGATCCAGTCTCTGAGATTCAAAGTTCATCATGGTCTTGGAGTGTTGTGACAACTCGTCTACAGGCGCTATTACTGAGCTGGCACTTGCGTCTCCCTGCCGGATGTGAGAAGCTTCTGAACCTCTACGAGTAGTTCCGGCTGTCCTCTGCGGTTTCAGCGGAGTCGTAGATCTGTCGAAGCTCGTCGTACGACCTGGCTTACATGCTGATCCTTCCTTCTGGGACTCATGCTTAGTTTTACTTTTGCGGGCCCCTTGCTTCTAGCCAAGCTGTGCCAACACCTAGTAACAAACAGGTCAAACCTAGTTGTGGGACCTTGTTCAATGCATCTCCCCATGCAAAAATGCCCTGATACTCTGATTCCCGATAGCCCAACTAACTTCTTCGCAGTGCTGTTCTTCGCCTTAGCTTAACCAAACTACATGCTTGACCCAAATGAGAACGCGCTGAGAGCTTTTTGGGTCTTCTGTTCTGTCCTGCCCTGGATGCCTACTCGTATCTTTCGTAGATCTCTTTGTGTGCTGTCTTGACTTGAACACGAAATCCCAAGAATCCTGTCCGGCACCCCCTCTCCTTGTGTACACTGTACACGTGAAGTTTGCACTGCTCCTGGTGCTTGCATGGATGAACGAGTCTTGAGATCTCTTGAGCCAAAAAGCCATAAGAACCATGCTCAATCTCTCCAAGCTTGCCCAAGGCTGGGGCATCAAGTTGTTCAAAGCGAGGCTGGCCGGCGCATGGTTCGGAAAGAGCTCGAACTCTACGCAGAAAGAGAAGAAGGCGTGAAAGGACATCATGTCTGGAGGCCCCTCCTGGCAGTGGTTTTGAAGTCTGGGCTAGCAGGGCCCCGAGAGTAGACTTAGACCCCTTCTCCGAAAACAAGGCTGTAGTGCCCGCGGCTTCAGGAACTTCGCCGGCGGCAGCTTCTCCTCGCCTCCGCGGTTGGCCTTCTCAGATTCCGAATGCTTTGCCATGCCACGCTCATATGCTTGTCAACGATAGCTGTTGGCATCCTAAAGTCTTCTGTCCTCATTGAGTCATGATGGTCACTCGCCCAAGCCTGCTAGGACCTGCTAGGAGCCTCCCAAGCGACAAAGCCAACCGAGCTCCCGACGGCGTTGGCAACGTTTCGCCTGGGCGGAGGACAAACGATGGCAACATATGGCAACAGCAACACCAGCGCCAAACCCAACAGCAGCAGCCAGCCACATCAGCAACCTCAACAATACGATTATGATGCCTTCAGGGGAAAGAACAGACGCAAACTAGAACCAACCAAGATACTGCACATGCGCAGCCACAACAGAGAGTATTGCTGTAAAGATCCATGAAGGCAGTAATCATAGCCGAACGAAGACTATTCATGCCAACAGCGACGAGAACAGTGGCCATGACAATTTCGATTCAACTTCCTAACCGCAACAAAGACAATAATTCGTCGCGATTCGAATCGGGAATTTGTAATTTCCCGGCTCCGGAAACAAAGTGGGCATGCGAGGACCCAACTTAGTGTGAATCAGAGGAAAGGTGTCCTGAAGGATGCCGCAACTAGTCACTAGGTGGGAGTTGAGACTAGTATTTGTGACTGCCCGGTTGCAAGGAGACGGGAGGCATGTGACTGCCCGATTTTCCTGATGCGATTTTTCTATCAAATCTGGCGCATGCCGGTTTGCACGTGCCATGACGTGAGATCCTGCTGTGATACTTCTTTAACTGATGGCAAGGTGAGCGGGTAACTCAACACGCGACGATTCAGCTTTCTCATTGTGTGATCGCATGTCGACGACAGCTGCTTTTTTCGATGACAAATAGACCGTCAACCACATCTACTGCTATGCCTACGGATGCTACTCTCCATTCGTACCCCCTAGAATCCCGAATACCCGGAGCAACAACAGTGGCACCGGCAGCAGCAACGACAGTCACGCTCAGGTAAACCAAAGCAGAAGCAGAAGCATGCAGAAACCACCATCGCGTCAACACACGTGAACAAAAGGAATGGCGAGACTTAAGAGTAGCTACAGTCGCCGCTGGCACGTCTTGAATAGTCCGATTCCTACATGCAGCTCGAAAATCCGCAGATTTGGGTCTGCTAAACGCATGCTGGCTTTCAGCGGCAGCCTTAGCATCTTTGCTTTGAAGGAGAGCGGGACTGCAACGACCCAGGCCTGAGGTGCACATCCTTTGTCTGTATGTGAATTTCTGCAATGCCCGGTTGGCAGGTTTACAAGGGCAGGCCAGTCGCGTGGGCAGGATCAGATTGGGCCGCCGTTGCCCACCTGGCAAGCGGCACGGCCAAGCAACACATGGAAGCCTCATGCCACGGAGTCGGCAACGTACTTCCTCGACTTTGCAGGACTTTCTCTTCGTCGTATCTTTCGAACTGCCTGAACTAACGAGCCTCCCAACATTGAGCCGCGCTTCTCTGCGCCCTCCGCTGGAGCGCCTGCAGCAGGCGCTGGCTTCGCGTCAGCGTTTGCGGAGAGCTTTAGCTTGGGAGATGGGCATGCGGGGGCGCCCGAGATTCCATCGCAGGGCAGGCTTTTCTGGAGGCGTTAGCATGTGCGAGGACTGCAAAGTTGAGATTTTAGCCTCAGCAGCTCAGCACCTGCCTGGTGCCTGGCCTGCTGCCTCCGTGGCCGGCGCATCGGAGCCCTTAGAGGAGCGGCAAAGCATCAAGTTTTTCAGCGACGTGCATCCCACATCCAAGTATTGCTGTTTGAGCTGCCAGGGAGTTATGCAACTGGATCAGACGTGCCATCGTTCAGACAGGGACTGGTAAGCTTCGATGGCTCCGGACACATTAGGTGAAGCGAGATTTATCAGCACACTGAAGCCGCAGCTGCATGGCCAGCTTGAGAGTAAGTGATAACCTGGACTATGGAACTGACTATGCAACTGCTCTCGGTGCTGTGGGAGAGTAGTCTGCTCCACCTTGGTCTACCAAGTGGCCTAGCCAACAAACTATTCATGCATGATGGGGCTGAAGACGCTGCCAACAGGTCCGAGCATATCCGAGCTCCCGGGCACATTCTGAGGAAGAGGAGGCTAAGGCAGAGGGGTCGGTCGGCTGGTAGTCGGCCTTGGCACTCAAACTCTCGATTTCGTGGCCCTCACAACTGACCCTGATCTTGAGGATCGGACCATATGCTCATCTGCATACTCGTCGAATATGCGAGAGAATAGTGGCCTGGGTAAACGCAATAAGAACAAGGGACTGCAAGCTCAGGGCGCACAGCCATGCTATGAAAAAAGGGTTGACACAAATGGGCGACTGAAAGGCTCAATTATCATTATCCGTCTTGCTTTCTCCAACTGTAGCGTGATTGGAGTGCTTGCCGGGCTGTAGCCCCAGAGGCCTATACCGATGCCTCTAAGCCTCTCACAAGAAGCGACTGGCAAAATGAAGCACCTGCACCAGACTGCAGCATGCAGCCTACCAGCAGTACAGTGGAGCTTGTCTTTGGCTGTTCCCGGACCTCCGGCTCCAGCAGCTGGCTGGACAAGAGCTCGCCGAGCACAACGCGCGCTGTGTTCTCGTACCTCAGAGCAGCTCCCTACCGAGGCTTTCGGACACGGAAGGCGGCCCCACGACAAAGGAGGCTGAGGCCACGGCAGTGCCCTGAGGTGCGACGAACCTGGCTTATTACTAGACTTCAAGACGGATCAAAGAAACGTAATTTTGAGTGTTGCAGGCTGCAGCACTGCATACGAGAACCTTGCCTCATGCTCCTCTCGCGTCAATCATGCCAGCCAGGCTCTGCTGATTGACTTCTTCTTCCCACTGGCGAATGCCATCTTTCCACTGCTGCAAACCCCTGTCGGAGGAGAAATTGCTGCAGCTCAGCATTTTGGGCTTCAGATTTTGGGTCTGAGATGTGTTTCCATGGCCTTGGAACATACACTTGCAGCCTGCAGTTCCAACATCTGGGGCTGGGGTGCAAGCCTGACTTATGAACCGCATAGTGGCAGTCTTTGGCCCAGATTTTCAGAGACCAGCCTCTCGGAAATGACATACCGCGGTGGTAGCGGCGGCCACATCCCCTGCGGCGGAAGCCGCAGCGTCGCCTCTGGTGCCTTGCATCGACCAACGGCTTTGGAGTGTGCAGGCGATGGCGTGTCTCTGCATGAAGTACAGCTATGGCACGCCGCAAAATTAATCCTGAAACTGCTAATACTGGCGGTAACGGGCTCGCACACCAGAATGGCCGATTCGCGAACTAGCGATTCGCACTCTGGACTATTTGCGGACGGTGGAAAGTGCGGCACCACGATTCGCACACGGACCCAGCCGACACGAGTCCCGCTCCGGAGCTTCCCTCCTGCACGAGGGCCTTCTTCATCACTTAAAAACGCAGGTCATAGAAATTGTCACCAAGCGCCTTTGCCCAATGACGGAGCAGGCTTGGGAAATGTGGTCAACCGCCATCGTCCAATGAGGAGGCGGATTCAAGACATGTGACCTCCGATTGGTACTTGAATTGCGCTTTCCTCGTGCTGGAATCGGCTGGTGCTTGAATCGGGCGTTTGGTTTTTGAATCGCGGATTTTTAAATCGCGGCTGATGCTCGAATCGGGGTTCTATACGTCCTCGCTGGAAATTGCCGCGACAACAATCCTCAACCGTCGCCTTCAGGATTGGAACAGTCTCCTCAGGCAGCTCGATGTTCACCTCGGGCAGCGGACTTTGGGGCCGAGGGTCGCGCCACAAAGCGAATGCCATGAGGTCGTACGATCCAAAGTGCTGACATCTAGGGTGAAAGATGGCTTAGTTAGTTCAAAATCCAACAGTGATACAGTAGATGGAATGAAGTGTGTTCGCTCTGAGGAATGTGGGGGCAAGTATGTTTCAGGCCCCAGTCACTGACAGTTTCCTCTTGTCCGTGTTCCTCAATCGCTCTGCCTGTCGCGGAAAGCGGGTGGATCTGCGAGACTGGGGCTGCAAGTTCGGGAAACTGCAGCAGAAGAACATGAGCCGAAAGTCAACGGCATAACACGTCGCATGCGTTCATCTGCCAAACCTCGAATCTGAACCCGTAACACCTAAGCATGCTGGGCCCGCACCGTCCTTCAACCCTTCGCCTACGTAAGTCCGAGCTTGAGCAGTCTGATTGACCAACCTTTCTGCTCTTTGGCTTCTCTGACGGCTCCTTCTCTTTTTCCTTGTCCTTTCCGGCTGGGGCTGTGGAAATGTTTGGAGACGGTTTGGCCATCTAGGCTCCGCGAATCCAATCTTATCGTCCGAGTCCATATGCTTCCCAGAACAGGCTTTTTGATGACAAAGAGAAGCGCCACAGCTGGCCTTCTCTTTGTCCTTCTCCTTCTCTTCGTCTTCCTCAACCTGGCAGTCCAGTAGCACAGCAGCATCCAAAGGTACGGCGGCAGGACGTCAGCATACGGTCCTTCACGCTTCCATCATGTGTTCCCGTCTCTGAGTACACTGTGTATTGCAGTGTGAGTACGTATGCGGGAGGAGGTGCGACAGTTGCTCTTCGACGTTTGAAAGGGAAGAGTTTCACACTCCGAGCCAGCCTTGGGCAGAGTGGTTGGGTCGATCCACCTGGGTTCGACAAGGGGACAGAGGCGAAAGTCCACCGTCCGCGCTGCGAGGATTCATCCAAGGCACAAAAGGCTTTCGACAAACGGCAGCCGCGAGATGGACTCGTCCAGAGCCTTCCGCCGAGCCTCCGAAGGAGCTGTGAGAGGTAGATGCGGAGATGTGCCTTGTTCGCCTATCCCATTCGGGCTTTGGCAGCGCAACAGAAAAGCCTTGCATAACATCTCCGGACGTGTAAAACGAGGGTATTTACACACCCTCATACACGCACATGGGGCCATGATCAGCAGGCACACGCGTGCATGCATTCTGCGCTATGCATCTTCCTGTCTAGGTTTAAGAGAGAGAGAGAGAGAGAGA